AAACCTACGCATATATACATATATATATACACACACATATACACACATATACACACATATACACACATATATATATATATATATATATATATATATACATGCATATATCCATATACACACACATGCAAACATATAATACACATATACATATACAGATACAACAATATATACCTATATATGTACACATATACATGTACGACTATACATATATAAATACTACCCTTCCTATCTTTTATATTTGGTTTGTTGTTAAGTGTTGCTGTTTGTTAATTTTTCTCTTATTGTATAGTTACTTTACCAATCCACATATATTATAATTACCTAGATATGCTAATTTTCATACTGTTTTTAGATCCACTGATGATGACATTAAATTGAATGTCGAAACGTTTGGAAATAAAGATTATTTTATAAATCTTTGGCTTTTCTTTGTTTGATGTATCGCCCTCAAGAACTCACTCATATATATATATATATATATATATATATATATATATATATATATATATATATATATATATATATATTCTACTATTGTCGTTATTTTATAATTTACCGATATTTCTTTCCTGGGAACTTTCAATTAGAAGGCCATTCGGGCAAGTTTTATCCAAAGGAGAAGGTTCTTCAATAATTTTTTCGTCATTATTATCCTTCAATTCTGGGTGTTCTTCAAGGCATGTTGCCGACCCTTTGATTTGAATTTCTAACAATTCTTCTTCGGTGTATTCTGAAGGTTTTTTCGGATTATTTTCAGTGGCGATTTTCGAGTTGTTGAACCCCATTATGATTGACAGATTAGTGGAGTGATTTGAAAGATTTTTTAAATACAAATAACTATTTGAAAAACGTATAAAATTTTTAAATATCGAATATTACAAGCTGTGAAAATAATTCACTAAAACATTATAGTTCATTTGTTTGGCTACATTTTGTTTTTTGACATTAGTACATAATCAAGAAACTGGATTTATTTTGTTTATCTGATTTGACATTGAAATTAACTACAAATGAAAGTCTAGACCACGGGGTATGAACACATTCTAATATTGTCTAGGGTCTAGACAATATTAGAATATGATGTATTCACATAGACGTTTCTCTCACGATTTTTACGTTCAGTAGGGATACTCCAAGGGAAGGGTCCACAAATCAGACGTGAGGGCGGTTCTTTTGGCATTCAAATTAATGGCGCAAAATTTGAAATGCAAATTACCGAATTTTAGTATTCGTGTATTTGAAACTAATTTTGGTATTAATACAATAATAACAAATATATACTAGATAATATCATCATAGTATTTTGCGTTGAGGCAAGTAACATGAACTTCTCAATATGTGTAAACTCTAGTTGGTTTTGGTATTTAGCCTTGAGGCCAGTTACATGAGCTTCCTGATATGTGTAAATAATCGACTTAATAAAAAATAATTTAATTTATGAGCAATTAAAGGTTTTACGAGTGGATCTATTACACAACATTGAAAGCGAACCAACACGTTAACTCGGAGTATTTTCTAAAAGCAAATTTTCAAAAATCAACAATTTATATAATTGAATCAGTTTCCGCAGGACTATAATGGTAGGTATGTTCATTAAGACCAAGTACTACTATCGTTATACCAAGTAAATCCTCTAAATGTAATATTAACAAATGTCAAAAAAACTACTCATTTTCTCAAACTTTGATAAATTTTTAAAATTGTACTACTTGTCGTGAGGCCGTAATATTTCAGTAAGTTGTATAAGACTATAATATATATTGACAAAAAACGTTCCATAAAAATCGTCTTAAATTATTTTTTCAACAGTTAATTACAAGAAAACGGCTCGATAGATTTTCACCTAAAACTTATCAGAATCATTCCCAACTAATATCTTTCAAACAGTTTTTGATTTTTTTAAATCAATTTGGTAGTATGAGCTTCAATGTGGAAGAATAGTTTAACACTTTTCTCCAAATTACAAAGAAACGGCTTTGCAGATCGTCGCTTAAATGTGGAAGAATAGTTTAATACTTTTCTCCAAATTACAAAGAAACGGCTTGGCAGATCGTTGCACAATACTGACAAACGATAATCCTCATTGAGATACATCAAATGGTTTTTAAATTCCTGAAATCGGTTCAGGCGTTTTTGAACAAACGTCGATGGAAGGTCTAATTTTGACAAATACCAAAAAAAAAACGATACCAATTTTTGCAAACTTTGAAGAATTTTTTAAAACTAAACGACTTGTTGTAGGGCCTTAATATTTTAGTATCATCTATATGGTATCTAGCGTCAAAATAGTCATAGAAATCGGTTTTTGAGTTTTCAAAATCGATTCTGAATTGCGGACTAAAACGTGGGTGAAATTTTTCACTTCTCTGCTATTTACAAAAAAACGGCTTTGCTGATCGTCGCGCAAACGCTAGTCCATCGAGATACATCAATGGCTTTTAAATTTTTGAATCTCGGTCAAGTCGTTTTTGAGAAAACGTCGATTTACAGCAAAAAAAATCTGTTTACATACACGCACACACATATACACTTTTTTCCAAATTTCGATTCGGAATGGCTTGAAACTGCGAAAAAACATAAAATTAGCGAATCGGATTTTTTAATGACAACAAACTTCTCCTTCGGGAGGTTAATGAAAATACAATCAAATCGAAATATAAATCAACAAACACACTGCCGGTTTAAATATACATCACACTCAATCTACTGGAACAATTTCTACACTTTAACTTATTTATATAAATATTTAGTGAAATTTATTAAACAATGCATTATAATGTTAGTTCATTACAACGTCTGTCATTCTTAACTCTCATTAACCAATAATCATTCCGTGCAAAATTTGTCATTCAAGCAATTCATCTTTTTCCAAGTATATTCAGATCCTTGTAAAGTGGTAATCCAATTTTGAGCAGGTGAAAGAATTCTAAATATTTTGTCTTTCTCGTTCAAACTTATACTTGATTTCTTACGTATTTTCCTACAAGTGCTCTTTTTTATTGCTTAAATTGCAAATAATTAGACTAATCTGTCAATGCACTACGTAGTAATTATGTCTTGTATCTGAGTTTGAAGCTGTTCTATCCATATTGTCAAATCCCAAAATATACCCAAAATCCGCATTTGGGAGTAATTAATAATGAAATCTTTTTTAACAAATGTACAAACACAAACGAACAGAAGAAACACATTTTGTCAACTGACACAAAAATAACTCTGTCGTTTCTTAGTAACCAACATAAAACATTTGATAATACTTTTTCATCGGCTTACTAGCCCAAAATTTGCGACTACCATAGAACCCCTAACTAACCTTTCTGAACGCGGATTTTGTTCTGAGATGATGGGCCCTGATTGAAAGTGTAAGTTCTATTTTGTCCATAAGGACAGTTGTAAGGATGTTGTATTCTTTTGAAAAGTTTTTCAAATTTCATCTTTGGCAAAGACGTGGACAAATACTTTTGCACATTTTTACAAATATTCGTCTCACAAACTGATCAACTCCATGCCTTGTCAAGTTTCATCAATGGATTGAAATTTTTTGAAATTGGTGCAGCTATTTTTAAAAAACGTCAATTTTTGGCTCACTTGAAAACACACACACACATTTTTTATTAAGACTATTTTCACTTGATCTCATATTTAGATCTATATTTTCAAGTAAAAATTGATATCAAGCTGTTCGAGGCGAAAACCTCGAAATTCTGGTTGCAAGACCAAAGCGCTTACCACTGAGCCACGGCCAACATGTATTTATCGACAAATAGAACAGAAATGTAATTAGAAAAATCAACTGCATATGGTTGCTAACATTAAAACATTTCATTTGCCATATTTTTCAATTAGGGCTCGCCCGTAGGTAAGCGGTTCAAAGCGGCAAGACTTGTTTCAGAGGTCCCGGGTTCGATACCCACTTCGAACAGTTGTCAGGCAGCAGTGACAACGATTTTCGCAAGGAAATATAGATAGCAATATGTGAAGTCCAAGTGAAAATAGCCCTTACTCGTTGTTGTGCATCAATAAAATGTTAGTCCTATTTGATAAATTCTAATAATTAAATCCTCAAATATGGATGGATTACCCATTGGGTTACCATCTAAAAATACGAAGTAAGAAGTTTCAGCCCAACAGCTTATAGGACGTAAGGTTCTAATTGCTGCTAAGATATGAGAATAATAAAAAAATAATAATAAATAAATAAATATTTTTCAATTGAAAAGAGAGCAAATAAGTTCATCTATACTCAATACTTTATACAGTGTAAAACCTGCCATTGGGCATCATATTTTTAATTTCTAAAGAGCTTTAATGAAAGAAGACATGAAATACAAATGCACTCTCATAAATATGATTTTCTTACATCAGAAATGTATTCTTATAAGCGCTTTCAAATACTCGGCAAGAGGGAAAATAATTATTATAGTTACTGTATCGTAGAAAGGAAATATAAATTCTTCTTGAGCATCTCATTAATAATAACCTAACAACGGGCTGTGTACAATAAAGAATTATTTTGTACCATAACGAACCGTAAATTGCGTGTCTTGATAAACGGGTTCTTGTAGTATTTAATTTTATCTATACTAGGAAAACACACTGTACTACCGAGGAATTATAAATTGGCTGGACGGTGGTTTATTCCTGTTATTTGCTGCAGTTTGCTGTTATAACTAAATTCTCGGATATTATCAGTGCTTTAATGTACTAATGTTGTAATATGGCAAAATTGTAATCACATAAACTATAACTATGTACTACAAGACCCAGACAAGGTATTATCGAGATTACATTAACAAGATTACTGCAGATAGTTCTATCAATTGAACTATGAGTAAATAATTCTGATAGTCTATTCCGTATAACAATGGGAATCAACATTTGTCAAATTAGGATATTGTAGGACTATGCTTTTTAATAATTTGTAAACTTAATTAAGTTATATAATTAATATTTAGTTTCTAAAAAATAAAATATTTTAATAATAACTTTTTATTTTACAGATGTTTCGAATGGGCGCCTTCTCACCCTTCTGCAGTGCAATAGACCTATTTCTATGGTAAGATGATAATATTGATATATCATTAAAGTTCTATAAAAATAATTTATGTTACAAACCAATATAGCCCGGTCAATTTAAACCTAAAATCAGAGCGATGGTTACTATAATTAATAACGGGGTGTAACTTGGCAAAACTGTTTAACAATTAAAAAAGAAATTTCAAAAGTCCTCATCTATCCGATGCGAACTAAAAAAATGGCAAAAGGTCAAAAATATTATTTGTATTTATCAACATTTGTAATAGCTTTATGCCTCACAATAAGGCCATTTAGGAAGAAAACTTTTCCTAAGTACTGTTTTTATTTATGTTGGTTTAGTTTATTGCTTTTAATAGTAAATTTAATCCAAATTGTGTTGAAAACTCTGTTCAAAAAAATTAATCGTTTTTTGTGTGTATTTTCAAAATCATGAGAGTACTTTTATTTTTTAATATGTGGTGAGAAATAGTAAGACGTCTTTAGTTCTTAATATTTTTATTATTATCTAATTAAGTTTTAGTCACATAGAACCATTTTGATTTTATATTTATCTCGTGTTTCTACAAATTCTTACTATTTTAAAAAGTTTTGACAAAAAAAGATTTTTTAGTTATTTGAATTATTTTTTTCAATTGAGTTATTAGGTTTGCTGGTATAGTCCAAATGTAGAATACCTTTTGTTAACGGATAGTAGACAATTTAGATGTCCATCAGTGAAAAATTTGGATAATCAAATCTAAATTTTGTTAAATTCTGCTTTTTTATGTCTGCAAAGGTAAAAATGCATTTTAAGATCATCAAAAATTGTGAGCTATTTGTGGTGAAGAAGCCCTTAAAAACGGCAGTGTTAAAATTGGGGTTTGCCAAATTTCGTTCTGGAGATTTTTCCCTCAAAAATAAAAAACGCTCTGGTCGTCCAGTTAAATTTGGTTAAAGAGGAATTGTCTGCTTTTACTTTTACAACCAAACTGAACTATCAATTCTGATGTCTACATATTAAACAACTAACAAAATTAAACAAAGCATTAAAAAGGCGGCTTAAATTGACATCGAAACGATGAATTATTCCATTATTGACATCTCATATTTTGTGTCACTTTCCAAAAATTATTAGAGCTTGGTTGGTATGTTTTGCTACATCCGTCGATATAGTATTATTGACCTTGCACCTTCTGATTACTTTTTCTGTTCTTCACAAACCTTTTTAAATTGTAATTTAATTATTATGATGGTGTCAAATTATACCTGATTCAGTTTTTTGCTAATAAAAACCAGAAGTTATATGAAAGTAGGATAATGATGCTGCTTCAAAAATAAAGAAATATCTTTGATCGAAAAGCCATAAAAAATTGTTTGGTGTTCTAACAAAAAACCACACTTACTTAGTTGCCAACCTAGTACCGTAAAAATATTATTTTTGTAAAACTGTAAAATTAATTAGAGCTATATGTACAGAAAATTAGCTCGATGATATCATTTCTATACGGGTCGATTGTGATTAGTCGTCGCGTATATGAATAGAGATCTGCATCTGTCGTTGTATGCGTACCGATATCAACAAGAAAATCGGCATTGATAAATAAACATTTTAAAGTTACATCGTAGTACAAATCTTGATTTAATGAGAAATGCCTGAATCAGAAGAATATTTTGCCCTGTTCCTTGAAAACATTAAAACAAATTTCAATTTATTATAAACAAAATTTATTGATTAGAAATTATTTCTATATTATTCGTTGTTTCTATAAATCTTTGAAGTTATTAAAATGGAAAAGATTTTTCATTGATGAGAGAAGTTGCAAAAACAATATTTTTTTAGGCGTTGTTTAACATAATCCACTGTGTGAACGAATATTATAGAATTTATTAATCAGCAATTACTTCATTTTTCTAATGAAGGTTCATTTCTAAATGCTAATTATAAGGACAAACCGATCATGTCATATTTGAAGTATGACTCTAATTACATTATTGTTTTTAAATATTGTACATATTTTTAATGCTATTATAAAATATATAATTTATAATTTTTCATTATATAAATGTGTATGATTGTTGCCACTAATAAATGTGTGCATCACGAGTGTTACCATATTACTAATAAACATTATTTAAAATTGTTATATGATGTATTTATTTTTACTTAAATGCCATCTTGTACAGTAGCAAATAAGTTTTACTTCAATCGCGTGCGAACCTTACGCGCACTCTTTTTTTTCAATTTATTTCTACAATATTACTATAGTTTCATAATTTATCACATCTTCAAAATTTTTATTAAAAAACTCCAACAGGGTTTATCAAAATTTGAATAACCGTGTAGGATGAGTTTGAATTCTTACATCCGTACAGAAGAATTTTATATTTAAGATAAATTTACAATATTTTATAATATGTTGTTTCATGAACAAGTAGATTCATAGTTCTGTATAATCAAAGATTGTACTTGATAAATAAGTACAACCAAATTAATTTCCAAAGTAATAAATCGTAGCCAGCGTGTATTTCCAAAATGATCGCAGTCCCTTTACCTTTTAGATATATGTATAGTGATAAATAGTGAGACGCCTCAAGTCCTTAAGTATCTAATTAATTTTTAGTCGCATCGCGGGAATGATTTCAATTATCTGATAGCGAGTTCAGCTTCGCCCGCCTCCCACTGATGCAGTTTCCTCGTTGTAATTACTAAACGTAATTAACCTCATCAAATATTTTCCGAGAACATCATGTCTCGTCGCGTGTTTGCTTTGCATTTCATTTTATATATTTTTTGGCCCAACGAATTATTTTTTGTGACCGACTTTAATAGACTCGGGGACCGCGCTTTGTTCGAACAGGATGCGGGGGACAATGCTGCCGTTATGCGGAAACTTGGGAAAATCAGATTCAGGGAAAAAACTGTAATTGGACGTTTACTGAAGTCATTGCCATTGAAAACAGCGCGAAATCGCAGGAATTAAAAAATTTAACATTCAATGTTTCATTCATTCCCAAAAATACTTTGGGATAACATATGATTTGATTTGTATAATAATTGTCAAAGGAATTATTGTGGGATTTAAAAAAAAATCGTATGTGATTTATTTTTGTAAAACCTTATACAGGTGATTTATTTTTGTATAAAATTATTTTTTTATGTGATATAATTTTTATGTAAAGATACAAAAAAGTTATAAGTCTACATTACATGTTAATTTGCTAAATCTAAAGGGTTTGTTCTCTTGAGTCTTCCGGGGATGTTTGAGAAAAGCAAGTCTTTTGCAAGTTAGTTCGGATGATATTCAAGTTTAGTTTTGTACTTAAATGCACGTCTTCCGATTTTTTCGCGTCTCAAAAAAAGAATCTGCAATGATTTACTACAAAATATAACATAACATCTAAGAAGGTGCTATCGCAGTATAGCGATCCTCCTCACGCAGTCGAATAATATATAACAATATGTAGCTGAATGTACTTTAAATTAAAAAAAAAACATGTTAATTTGCTAAATCTAAAGGGTTTGTTCTCTTGAGTCTTCCGGGGATGTTTGAGAAAAGCAAGTCTTTTGCAAGTTAGTTCGGATGATATTCAAGTTTAGTTTTGTACTTAAATGCACGTCTTCAGATTTTTTCGCGTCTCAAAAAAAGAATCTGCAATGATTTACTACAAAATATAACATCTAATAACATCTGAGAAGGTGCTATCGCAGTATAGCGATCCTTCTCACGCAGTCAAATAATATATAACTGTAACAATATGTAGCTGAATGTACTTTAAATTAAAAAAAAACATGTTAATTTGCTAAATCTAAAAGGTTTTTTCTTTTGAGTCTTCTGGGGATGTTTGAGAAAAGCAAGTCTTTTGCAAGTTAGTTCGGATAATATTCAAGTCTATTGTTGTTCTTAGTTGCATGTCTTCTGATTTTTTCTGTTACCATGAACATACTGGAGTCCTTAAAGATCAGCCAATTTGGGCGCCTCTGATATTTTTTAAAAATTTTATTTTGTGACTTTTGCAAAATGTTTATATTGGTTTGACTGGTACTTTTAATTTTAACCTCATAAATTTAAATTATACTAAATTAAATTGGACTAAAAAAATACTACTATAATTAATATAAATTTGACGTGGGTTTATAGGTTCCAAAACTGTCAACCGAAATAATAATTGATCTCTGTTCTATAAATTAACCAGAGAAAAATTGAACGCACTAAAGTACCGTTTCAAGTTCTATTGAAAATTGACGTATTTAAAAAGTTATTATACTTCTTAGTTTCATATCAAAAAGAGTAAACTAATAAATAATATAAAAATTAGCCCGTATTAGCTCATGTTGCATTCAAATATTCTTTCTTTTTGCTGACACTGAAACATTTGAATTGAATGTGCGAAAATCGTGTTATTTTCAACTTTTTTTCGTAAGTTATAGTAATAGCAAAATGTTATAGTAATCGTCAATTACTAATCGATAATGAATATATTTTCATACATTTATGTTTTAAGGTTCTCTGAACATTTTGGCATGCCTTAACGTTAGAAAAAATTTATGTACCTATGTGTGTATGCGTAATTGCGTATGTGCAAATACAAATTCTTGCCGACAATTTCAAGATTTTCTCGGATCACGGATCAACCGATTTGAATGATTCAAAAAATATTTAATTTATATTGTCAAAGAAACGTGGTGATTCGTTTTTGACAATGGAAGATCTGTTCGTTTTGATAATACTGTACAAAAAATGCAAAATATGCAAAAAAATGGCAGGGTCGGTTTTTAAGAGAAGGGGTTGATGTCCTATTTGAATGATTCAAGAAACATTTTATTTTTGACTAAAAAAATGAATTAAACTTTTGGAAAGATAGGTCTGGCTGTTTTGGAGACCCTGAGAATGATGTTTAAAAAATGCTATCTGGCCGTCAAAAATGATCAGATATATGCAAATCAAATTTTCAGACAATTTAGATTTTATAAATAAGTGCAAATATTTTTTCCGTAGAAAGATTAACTGTGTTGAAAATTCTTTAAAGTGTATAATTCAA